GGGGCTATGGACATGCTGCGGGTTCAGGTATCAAAATCAGTTTTGACATTAGCACAAATAAAATTATTACATTTATTTAATCCCTTTGTATCATCGGAGTAGATCAAATACTTTGGTCTAAATAAAAGATTGTGAGTATCTGTATTCAGTAATTTGTATTTACGTGTGTAGGTCATCGAAGGATGATATGTCACAAACATATTACAACTTTTATAGATTCTGACATGCTATGTACTGAAAACGATAAAAAAATTTATTTCCAAATTGATTTCGAACGCTTTTTATCTTGTTATAAATAAAATGAATACGTAGGGCTGTGATTATTTATGAAAATAGAAGTATCAATATATAAAGACATTGTATTAAAGCAAAAAAGAATCGCTCACTGATATTATAAGTGTTTGCTTTAAAACAAAAGTTGACGCATTCCGTGTAAGTTCATGGAGTGTCTGGTTTCACATACAAATTCATAGTAGTCTTTGCTGTTTTGTTATTTTAGCTGTTGAAAAGCACTCTATTTTATGATTTTTTTTTTATCTTGTTGCATTGAACATATAGTTCTTAATGCTATGCCCAACATGTAAAGTGGGCAGGTTTAACATACATATTTTTGATATAAAATGTTACGTCAATAAATTAATGAATTTTTTATAAAAATTAATATCTTCCATGGACACACACGTAATAAAGTTATGAATATTTTTCATAAAAAGAAAAATCATTCATTGAATATATGTCATGAATATACTCAATCCATAACAATTATAGGAGCAAACCCTTTTGATGCATTCAAATGACAAACCAAATATTTCAAATACGATGAATCAAGAAAATAAGACTCTTCAAAAGGTGTTTTCGGGTAAATTAAACTGCTTTTATCAAACATTAAAATGTCTTGAAAAGGCACTAGAGTAAATAAATGATGTCATAAAATCATTCATATTATGCAAGATGACACATGGTGACATTTAGTGTCGGAAGATAATGCCCAATGCTGCTCACTGCATTGTAGCCGTGCTACTGGTTTGTTAGGTTACAAAGCAATGCAAGGTTGTTAAGTGTTCTATCGTTATAGCTTCAACAAAGTGAATTGTGAAGACATTTTAATATTTGTTAAAGCAACTTTTTGATTAGTCAGTTCGCTCTCAGTATACCGACCTGATTAGTCAGATCGCTCTCAGTATACGGACCTGATTAGTCAGATCGCTCTCAGTATACGGACCTGATTAGTCAGATCGCTCTCAGTATACAGACATGATTAGTCAGATCGCTCTCAGTATACGAAGCTGATTAGTCGGATCGCTCTCAGTATACGGAGCTGATTAGTCAGTTCGCTCTCAGTATACGGACCTGATTAGTCAGATCGCTCTCAGTATACGGACCTGATTAGTCAGATCGCTCTCAGTATACGAACCTGATTAGTCAGACCTGACTAGGTTAAATCGCCATAATTAACAATGATTGAACCGAGGCTGACTGTTTCAATTAAAAATGTGAAAGTAATGAATCTTTAATACTAGTTAACTACCAATTAATCTTTATACAATATGTTATTGCAACTAGCTTGATTGATACCCATATTAATGTAATATTCTAAATAAATATAAAAATATTTGTTTTTATACCAAAGTTTATGTAATATTATGTTTACGTAACGTATTTTTTATGTATGATGATAAATAACAAAATTATATCATTGGATATCAGCATAATTGTATATGACATACATTGTATAACTTGTCAGATATATGCCTTTGTAATTAGATATTCCTCTTGCTATATTTTTGAATATCTCCATAATAAATCACTCTGATGAATATGCTTGATACAAATCTCTATGATTCTGTATAAACGAGACTCTTGAATGTGTCGCGAGGTATATACAAACCAGTGCACTCCACCATACCATGGTAAGGTACCCTCTCATTAACATAAAGCTGTTAAAGGGACTAACCACAACATTGACTGAAGGGATTGCTATCGGGACAGCTTACGCTTAACGTGTTGCGTTATCTAAAATATATATCATTCAAAATAGAAAATGTTTTGTGCATAAACAAAACAGCCCAATCGGAATTAGAAAAAGGAATCATTTTTTTCTAGAATTGCAACAAAATGAAAAGAACATGTGTTTTCATTTTTTTAAGTTCACAATGCGTCGCCAAACTGGCCGCCACAATCACATGCTGTTTCCTACTCGTTTAGGATAATAATACGATAGAAAGCTTATCGCAGTAACTAAGTGTCCTCTTAAGTAGCCGTTATACTATAACCGATTCACAATACACACAGAGCAGATAGCAGACAGGCAGTCCACGATTCGGATTAACTCGTATTGTGAGCTTCGACTCTTGAGCTGGCTGTGGGCGAAAATGACTGCAGGAGTAGAAAGTTATACTTTGAAGTGTGAATTTAGACTAAATATGTGTTATAACCAAGAATTTTCGTGGTTAAAATATCCAAATCGCATTGTGTAGCTAATCCAGACATAAGTTATGTGTGATAAGCACACCATGTAAATATAGACCATATTATGTTTGGTGTCAGGTTAACAGCGGACATTTAGGGAAAGGGTGACACAAACATACATAACTATGCGTGTGCACTGGATGATTAGTATATCTAAATAAATATTTTGTTTTATGCAATCTCTAGGTACTTGTTACATATAATGAATTATCAACTTGGGGCTGATAATTATCAATGTCCAAAATGATCACAACACTGCATCCTATATTGGTATATTGAATTGACATGTCAAAATAATATTGAAAACTCCTATCTAGTGTTTTGAAAATGTCTTTCCCATATATATTATTAGAATTGTCTCAATTTATGATATGATAATTGATTTTTCAGACGGGAACATAAACTAACCATAAAAATACACCTCCTTCATAATGACTTATTGGACAAGGGTTATTTTGTTTCCAAAACTTTGTAAAATATTATATTAATACTTAAGCAGAAAAAGATTCAATTTGAAAGCTTTTATTAATTGGTTCAATTTTATTTCATACCTTCAGCCCTAGTCTATGAGTAATATGAATTGCTCTTTGCTGGTAAAACTATTTAACATTTGATATATTTCGATATATATATATAGAAACCATATAAAACATGGATGAAATAGTATGTCATGCATTTGCGAAAAACCATGCATTTCGTCTGTCATTGGATTCCTTGCAAACATCCACAAATGATATTTTATTACTTAAATGATAATTAGGATATATATCATAATTATTTACATTTTAAATTCTAGGTATGCGAGTGAACTAAATATTGTATATATGCCAATGCAATAAACAATGATCCTACAAGATTGGGAACAATGGAGCTCATTGAATAGTTGACATAATTAACAGACTAATTGATTGATTGCCGAAACATATGTCGGTACGTACAAAGTGCCTCATCACCACTGGCCGGAAGTGTGGAAATCTTTATCACAAACTCAACTCTTAACCAGGAGAGCACGCTCGAGCCAAATATTCGCATGTGCAATTATTGAAGTAATTCAATCAATTGTGAAAATATTACACATTGATGTATCATTGAAAATTTTGCTGAGCAATATCGCAGGTGCACAATAACTAACACACTGTATATTAAGGCACATACATAGAAAAAATGAAAAAAAAAATTGGCCGCATTTCATTTGAAGTCATAGGGTGACTTTTAACGTGATATGAGGGTAAACTGATTTGATCAAATTAAAGACCTGTTTTAAAATTAGAACCGGTAGTTCAATCTGATAATTTTAGGTCGTCGATGTAATGATAAGAAACAAACATAACAAGGAAACGTAGAGAAGGATTCCCATGTCGTTATTGTGGACCAGTTGATTAATAAAGCATTACATGATTGTTGAAATGACATATCTGCATTTTTCCATTTTTTTCCCCTGCTTGTATTTTGACATGAAATATGGCCTACATTCTACATATATCACAAAAAGCTGGTATGTCAATAACGTAACCATCCGTTCAAAAATCAATTCAGAGTCAAGAACAGGACGTCTGGGTATAACACTTAACGCCTTGTCAGCTTAACATAGAAATAAAAAACAATAGCTATGATGAAAATTTACTTAAAATTGTCATCGAAATAATTCTTGTTCTATTATATTCACCATTTACTTATGGACACTAACACTTGTTTGGTATTTCTCTTCGATGAACATTTTGTTACAGGGACATATGATGACATACATAGCTATTGAAACATATACTAAGGATGACAGCTCTGTAAGCATAGCCCCACAAGCTCCATGATATACCTAATATTTTCGACACATCTGGTGTCCCCAACGCTAATGAGTATATCATCTATAGCCGTTTCTACTCTTGAGGAGACCAAAAAAATCATCGATGTTTATGATTTTTTTCTCTCCAGAAATTTGGACTTTTAAATATAAGAGTTTATTTTCAATGTTAAATAAGGAATTTACGTGACGTGAAGCATCCGATGTCGTTGACTAATTAACGCGACATGCCATCTTTTGGCATTGCGCCAAGACAGGAACCATTTTGACACAAAAAGGAGAAAGCTATAAGAAATGCCACAAACCGGAGGTGCTCCGGAAGTATTCGCCATTCCTGAACCACATGTGGTATCCGTCAGGGTGACTCCAGTCATTGAAGGGAATTTACAGTGATACATATAAAAACCAGACTAACCGATAGCAGAGTTTTTTTTCAGGATGTTGTTGGGATAGAAGTGCATTATTACTCATGTTTTGTTGATATGATGATATTTAATATTTCCCTAAATCTGGAATTTTTAAATCCACAGGTTAAACACTCCTATTGACACAAGGCATTTAAATCCCTGCTATATGTGTCATCAGATGTCTAACATGTCCCCTCACCTCTATATTAAATTCCATTATAACCCGTCGTTTCCTACTGGTAGGTACAGTAATATGATGACATTTTGTTTTTCCTGTATTCCGTACCATCTAAATAAACTGGTTCTATGTTTGTTTTAATTCTTTATTTAAAATCCACACGTTTCACTCAGTGTTGTTTACAAAACATATGCATATTCGTACGTAGGGGGACTCAAGTCAGCGCTATATTGACTTCGGCTTAGACTATAGCATCGTGTGTTTATATAAATCATATTCTAGAGGTATCTCATACAGAAGGGTGGTGGAGGTAATAAAAGGTCGTACTTATGAATATCTAAACGATTCCATTGTCGCTGTATAGCCATGTGCATTCTTGTGTCAATAATAATTTGCTCTTTGTAAGTTTTACCGACAGAAACGCCTTACACAAGGGAGTATGGGCCAGTTCAGTAACAGCCAAAAGCCTGTGTATCCGCTCGGGTGTATCCGTCATAAAAGAGGGCGTGTGTAAAGTGTTGAGAACGGCAACTATTTGACAGCATGGGAAGACTGACATACACCCGGATAGCAGACGAGAGTGACTGGAGTTCCAATGGGAACGTTGACGGATCAACAGTGGTCATGAATGCACGTGTTTCACCCGCGGTCACAGACATGAACACTGTAGTGATGTACTTAGCAAGGATATGGAACACAGTGTAGCTGTGTTAACACTACAGACATACACTATGGACTATAGCTAACTATTGATGTACTTTAAAGAACAATTAGTTAATATAATACAAAATCACCTGTTATTAATTCCGGAGCTACGACATCAGTACTATTTGTATTGGAATGAAGCAAAAATAGTACCTTGATGCATGAATTATATTTTGAAATTCAGATAATTGATTTATTTGAAAATCACATCAAACCATCACTGCCATTTTCAACATGATTTTAAGAAAGGAATATAACAATATTACTCTTTGATGATGTTCACTCTCGACTCTCATGTGTATCTGCAAGACCAAATAAACACCTGCATATGGAACGAAACAAGTGTCAATCGCGAGAAAAAGCCCCCTGGGAGGAAAACGAATTACACTCTTTGAGGATTCATGTTTTAAGTACGTTTGATGTTTTGTTGGCTTAAACTCTATCTGGATGTCAGGGAATGTACTCATACATCATAATACACCAAAATCAATAACACTATTGTATGGTCATTACAACAGATCCGCTGATACAGTGCTGTAGGTTATATAGTGTTGTGAAGTTTTCGTGCGTGGTATCCTTCTAAACGTCCTATCAACATTGTTTTCTCGGAAGAATTTATCTCATTTCCAAAGGATGTTATATGTCATAGAAGAACCTATACGTGACGGGAATTGGACTCGAAGCAACACTTTAGATGCAATCGTAATGGACTGAATTCTTACAAAACGTTGCCATCTGCATCCTCCTGCACTACAACGTTTTCTTGATTTTCTACCTCATTTTCAACTGTATACGGTGATAAATATGTATTGGATATTTTTTATGATGTAAAGATGTGACTTTTAGTATGCGTCTAGTATTAAGACTTTAACCTCAACCGCTCACAGTGTTTGTTTTGTTCGATGTTCATGGAGTTGGAAAACAAAATGTGTATATATTTATTTATTTTATTATCTCACAGCATTCCTATGGAAGAGAACACAATTTTAAATGACGTTGTACGAGAAGAATTGGAACATTTCCTCATACGAAAAGAGAATAAAAGAACAATTCTTTGACGATTTTCTCACTGGACAATACAGGTACATAACTCACTGAATGTTGTGCACAATTCCCATAATAAAGGCAACGGAAGGATAACACCTCGCTTGCAGACAACAATCTTAGTGTCACGATCTTATCGGAGGAAGGTGATATAAGAATTAAGACTCTGGAATTACAGACCAATAAAGAATGCTAGGACAGCGAATCCCTCTTTTCAAACGATCTGAGAAAAACAGATGACAAAAGCGGTCATTCTGGAAGACTACAAACAAAATTTTCTCATTTTTATTTGAGAAAAAAATATGACATTAAAGTTAAGATAGAATTAATTTTGTTAATAAAGAACCCGAGGGGACTGAAAAGTCCGTGGATTCGTCCCAGATCTGATATGAAGTTTGTAACACAATATAGGGTGTTTTCTTACGTTGTAAACTACCTGATCTGGTCTATGATAGTTCTACCGTGTGCAGACTCGTGTATACTTTTACTAAATGGATGGACTCCTTTATCTGTGTATGAGAGGACAGGACTGGCCGATGCTGTTGCGTCCGGATTTGTAATGAGAACATTCAAAGACGTCAGGACAGACGCACATACGTACAGTGCTGAAGTGAAAATATTACAGATTTATAAAGGTGTTGAAAAGATACGAGAAGTGGCTGCGAACGGAAGCTTGGGGAATATATATAATATCAGTAATTTTGGTGATAAGAAAATGTGTTATGCTGATATAGATGAAAACGAAAGTTATATCTTCTTTTTAACTGTATATAGAGGGCGTCTGTCTGCCCAGTATGATGACATTTTCGGTGCTGCTGTGGATTTCACGGAGGAAAACGAGGATGAAGTAATACAACAGTTAGGTAAGTTAAATTTCATCATTATCATTGGCCCACGTGTTGTTAATAGTGTTAGTTTAAAGCAGGATGTCATTATTCATATATAATCTCACAGATATGGCAAGGTCTATTCATAAATCACGTATGAAAGTTTTGATACCAAACATATGTTTATCTGTGCAATGTACGAGAATGTTAGATTAAAGTTTGTTTACGGTTTGTAATCCGATGAGGTTAAATACTGTTTTGCTTAAAATCTTAAAATTTTCCGGAAACATTCTTTGGAATGTGACCTATTCTGCATTTTTTATAAACACTGTTTAATCTCAAAAATGCATTGCAAATAAATTATCTAAAAATAGATAGACACTAATAAACATCGAGTAAATAGTTTCAAATAACCAGATTTACAAAACTCAACCCGAATTTAAATTGAGTTTACTACCAATTGATATTATCCAGATTTTAAATAACTGGTCTAAGTTAAATCTATGACCTCATAGGACATGGCACATAGAAACATAACATTACAGGAACCAAAAGTAACGACCCGGAGAAGATTTCCTTTTTTTGTTTTTAAGTTCTTCGGTTTCAGTTTTCAAGTATATTCGCCCTAAATATTTGTGTTTGTAAAACGATGTGACTCAAGCGCTATCTGATTTTCGGTGCAGAGATAAAATCGGCTCTTTTTACATTTTCTATCTGTGCGATATCTGTTTGCCCGGGAAACGCCATTTGTATAATTAAGTTACCTGGTATGTGGGCTGTTTTACTATGTAATAGTTTAAATAGCAAAAGCCTTAATTTTGATTCCTCCTAATTACTTAATTAATTAAATAAACATAGAATTACTACATGCGTATGTCGATCTAATTATTTTATAATATCCCAAGCCTACGTAGATTCGTATAACTAGACATGAAAATAAGATATCAGGAAATATCAAGAGCATGTATCTCTATGACATCAACATGTTTTATGTCTGAAGGATTCAGTCGAAAGAAAATATTCATAGTCGTATTATTTTTTTACTTGTAATGTAATGTAAATAATGTAAACGATATTGAGATTGATATCAAACAAAGGAGACTTGTAGGTTATTACTTATATTGTAAGTAATGGTTATCTCCTATTGAAGAGCACGTGCTGAACTTAAACATACTGCTATCACAGCATGGTATGTGTATAGGGTTGTTGCACATGCGATATATATTGCATGACATCTGGCATAATTGTTTGAAAAACAAATACACTCCATTTCACTTAAGTAATTGATAACGAAAACGACATTGTTCATATAATGCTAATTATCCTCCGACAACAGCATCAGAAACATTTCTTGTTTTATGAATATCAGATGAAAATATGCAACTTATAATATGCAGATAATAACATTTTTACCTAATTTGATCACATAAGCATTACTTTAGATTACAATCAATTTCTGGATTTCGTATAATGCTCAGAAGTTCCCTTGAAATCGTTTTGATTCAGCTGCTAATCCATTATGGTTTAGTGTATTTCAAAATATCTTTCTCAAAAGTTATCCGTATATGCATACCAAAAGTCAACAAATAACGGAATCCAAGTGTTATTGCGAACACCGGTGGAACATTAACCTGTTTCAGACGTCAATAAAAGTGTTTTCTGGATTATGGCCACATTTTTGTGTGGCATTACTGGGATTTACTCATCCGTTTAGTTATAAAATGCATATTAATTATGAACTATTTAGACTTGGCATGAATTTCGCGTTGCCCTGATCTTAGAGTAAAAAAATGTTACAAGGATATCATTTTACCCTCTGCCTACAAGTCACATTCCAACAAGCGTAATGTGAAAAATTCTTCGAGTGATTAACATCGTTATAGTGTTATATGAAGTGTGTGAATGAGTCCCATAAGAAATATTTACTTATGTTAACGAGAGCATTCAAATCATCATTTATATATGTAAAAAAGGACCACACCCTCTAATGTGTCCCATACAAATACTAGTACATTCATATTCTAGCTCAAAACTCACTAATAAAGATAGACAAAATCTACAAATATCACTAGCAAAGATACATCCCCTTTAAATACCACTAATCAAGATTAATCGTTAATACTAATACAAACAAAGATAAAACATAGTAGCACTGACAGACATAGAGTCCTTTAACTTAACACTAACAAATATCAGTCTCTGAGAAAGCACTATAAACCACCTACAAATAACACTAACAAATTTCAGTCTCTGAGAAAGCACTATAAATCACCTACAAATAACACTAACAAATATCAGTCTCTGAGAAAGCACTATAAATCACCTACAAATAACACTAGCAAATATCAGTCTATGAGAAAGCACTATAAATCACCTACAAATAACACGAGCAAATATCAGTCTCTGAGAAAGCACTATAAATCAACAACAAATAACACTAACAAATATCTGTCTCTCAGAAAGCACTATAAATCACCTACAAATAACACTAACAAAGATAAACCCTACAAGTAACACTTACATTGATGAACCCTACAAATAATACAAAGTTGAATCACCTTCAAAATAACACTTACAAATATAAACCCTACCAATAAAATTTACATAGATAGATCACAAAAGTCGAATATAATATTGTTACACTACAATATTTCACTGTGAAATATTTTAGTGATAAAATAGACATGTGATTTTTAATGACAAAATTAAGTGCATTATGCGGCCCAGATAATGGAAATTCTTGACGATATACACTGTAATTATGGAAACAAATCAATGCATGGTTATCTCATTGTACTTTCATGTCTTTAATCGCATTACCAGGTAAAGTTGTGCAACTGAAATGATATGACTATAAGACTTGTTAATTTCCACTTTTGCTTTTGTATTTCGAACATACACATATTTTGAGAACAAAACTATTTAATCTTACTAAATGAAATATGACAGAAACTCTCGAATTTTGAGATATTAGATATCTGGTGCTGGCCACCTTGATGTGAGTTAATATCACCTGAAAACAAACTGATGAACAAAACAAAACAACTCAATTAAATAAAACATGCTTATTTTTTGTTTTTATTAAAAATCACACCTTGTTCTCAAGTAGCATTTTTATAGTTGTATACCTCAAATACGCCTCTGCAAATTAAAATGTATCTATAATAAGCGATATCTGAGAAACAAGTAATGTCTATATACATGAATATACAAATACACTAGTTTTAAATGGTGTGACTGGCAATTATGGCCTATCGACTATTTCACGTGTGTACTACCCTTACTTCAGTGACACGATAAACACTCTGTGAATAGCCACTCCACCCCTTAAGAGAATTAAATCACCATTGACATACGATAAGGTAAGACTAGGTTAGGTCGCCACAGTCATGTCCCCCTCGCTTATATAACACTGACAATAGTTCGTGTAGCGTACCTAGTCGAGATGATTGACATATGTAGTGACTCGTACAGTTCCGAGTTTTACAAAATTATGAATGGACATTGACTCTATCATGTAATGTACAGCCTTTATATGATCAATTTATTCATTAGTATACTTTGCTCAAATATCTTGTCAAATTTGTCTAATTTTTTAACGTATAATTAGGTCAAATGAAATATAAATCAATTTAGTATATTAACTTTGCCAGCGCTCTCTATTTTTGTCTGTGGTATTCCTGCTGGTAATTAGTCCGTTGCGGGTGATCCCGCTTAGCCTCATTACGACTCTGCGATGGTCTGCCGTATGTGTACTTTAGCGAGGTGGCAATGCATCCAAACCTCCATGTTCTAACCAGTCCAACACATCAACCACATGACATCTGCAACTAACATTTGCACGGGCCTTTTTATAACAATTGTTAGTATTACCAACATATGACATAGTTGGAGTGATATGTTTTAAAATAATTTATTTTTATAAATCTGTTACACATTCAGCACTAACAGATGCATAAGTATAATGCTACAATATTAAGAATTTACTTGAGATGGATTGAGAGTTTCATCATAAAGTTTTGATTTATTTTTAATATAGGCAGCATAAGGTTTCTATCTCCAAAATAGCTGAAATGGCACATTTAAACTGTTCTACTTATCCGCCGTGTGACAATATCTCCCAGGAATTCCTCACATAGCTGGTGGTAGATATAAGATAGATAAAATTTAGAATATAAATTATACAATCAATTAACTTGGGATAAATCAATCTCAGAAAAGCTACTCGATCGTTATAGGTTAAGAAAAAGACCACTCTGTGTATATATCATACAGTTAATTGAAATCAATATTATTCTTATTCGTTGCAGAGTATATAAATCAATCTCCGAATAGGTACTCCACACATGTTAAAGATAATATTATATTACACATTGTACTTATACATGTCCGCTATTGTTTGCTGTCTGTAATGAGTGTATTAGAAGTACTCTAATTCCTAACACGAGCTTCGTACATTTTTTAAAAGTTTCGTCAGCTCAATCGCAAAATAATTATACATTTTGCAATTGAATTTTTCAACCAAAAAAGACAAAAATAGATTGCATCGTATTTTCCTGTCTGTGGTTTTTAATCCGAAAACGTGTATTATCAGGTTTTGAGAAAATATCAATGATACAAGTATAACCGTGCTATGATGTAAAGCTGACAATTCTTTATGAAACGTTGTCTTAAACTACTATCATTTCGAGGTTAATATATAACCATATAGTCTACGCTCCACGAATATTCATGTATACAATTTTATTTTCTCATTTGGTGATATATTCACACGGATAGATGCAATAACGTAGTTGATTTCTAATTCAGTGCTTTAGTTGGTACAGTTTGTCCAGAAATTGAGCTCTGAAATATGATCTGTAATATTCAATATTTAAACTGTGTGTGGTATTTTTTGTGTGACTCAACTGTCATATTGACAAACATGACTCGATATTGACTTACACTGCCCGCCCTCGGAGACGTTGTTCTAGCACGTCTACATTAAATAACTCATCAACATGTTCTTACAATTTGTATTTTTTTTTATATTCTTT